TTAGGTGATCTTTACCTTCTTTGGGAAGATTGAACAGAGTCTCATACGAGATTTGGTCCAGCCCTGGAGCAGAATCCTTATTGCATGACGCCAAAGCAGAATTGAACTCTTCTTCTGTAAATGGTAAATTATAAGATAATGCAGTATTAATCACAGGCAGTTTTGGAGTAGGGATAACCTCAACCTCTCTTCCGATCAACTCTTCCTTCAGATCTATCAATTCATCAGCGTCTGGATCATTAGATATATTTATGGGTGTACTGAACTTTCCCTGGAAGCCTTTGATCAGTCCCCAAATACGTTTAGAACCCATTGCCGGATTTATCGAATTACATAAATCCATGAATGATTTCTTTTTGCTTTCCAGAATGATTTTTGAGGCTTCTTTTTCCAATTCCAAATTTTTTTTCGAGGAATCCCTTAAGTATATTTTCCTGGCACATTTCTTTTTTTGGAGTACTTCTTCACACGCAACCGTCCACCAAAGTGGTTTTACTGGCGATTCTTCAGATTGAATAGGAACCAGTCCACCTTGTTGAGTCTCAGTCTGTTCGACCCCTCGCAAGATTTCATTGCCCTCACATTAATCATATGGAATACCGGGAAGTGATCACTTCCGTAGGTGTCTGACAAAGTCCAACTCTCAGAGATAATGCTGAGCTGTGGTGTTCCTATAACCAAGTCCAGGACACTACATGTCCCTCCCAGCTGATCCCCAAAAGTGGGTTGAGCATCTCTTATTAAGATCAGATTATTGATTTCTATAATTCCCAAAAGAGCTCATCCGGAAGGATAATTTCCATATGGGCTATAAATTGGGGTGTGAGCGTTTAGATCCCCCATGATGAGCAATTTTTCATCACTGGGTATCCCCTCCAACAATTCTATCCAATGCTTCAGAGTGACTTTAACATTTGGTGGAATGTATACTGTGATAACAAAAATTTATCCTTGCTCAGTTTTGATTTTAAATCCTACTGCATCCATAATACCGATCCATGAACCTTTGAGTTGTATTCTTTCTATCTATCGTTTTTTTATTTGATACGCTGCGTGCGTTCCACGTGATGCATCTAATATTAAGATCAAAATTCATTATAGAGCAATTAGTTAGATAATTGAATTAACTTTTATAATACACTTTTTATTATCAAAATATGCTTATATGGCCAGGACTTGAAAAACCCAGTGTGAAATCCAAATGTACTTGGTTAAATGTGCTTGTTAAAAAGGAAGGAATATAAGCCAAAGCTAAAGCGGGTAGTGATAACTTAATCCTTTAATCAAAAGAGAAAAAATAAACAAAAAACAACTAAACAAAATTTTCTTCTTTTAAAATATTTCGCTTTATTTTAATCATTCATTCATTTACTATTATCATAATTATTTCCTCTCCTTTTCCATTTCATTATTTATTTATCTATTTATTTATTTAATTATATTCTCTTCTATCTATTAGAAAATTCAAAACCTACTTATAATCTATTTTCACCAATATATAGTCAACCATATTCAGTGAGTGAGTACCCTGTGGGCAAAAAACCATTTTCGTTCTTAAAACGTTTTAAGGACGTTCTTAGAGCCTTTCATTACAAGCTCGCTCGGCTTTAATCAATTTAATAAAATTTTACGCAGGTCCCGAGTTTGATCATCTAAACATATCAAATTATAAAATTTCTCGCATGTTTGACAGTGGGGGAGATAAATTAACTTTTTGTTTTTATTGCCCTGCATGTAAGGGGTCGTTCATAAATTACGTAAGACTTTCTTCTGGTCATTTGATCCCCCTCCCCCCCTATGTAAGATTTTTTACATGCATTAGCGCCATTTTTCCTATTGGTCGTAAGAAATACTTGACCCCCCTCCCCCTAAAAGTCTTACGTAATTTATGGACGGCCCCTAAAGCAACTTTACTATCAACCAAGAAAAAAAAAGCCAATAACCCTGAAGGTCTTTGTGATAAATGTGGTTCTAGGTGTAATTTGTCCACAAAAAATGGAGAATATTTTGTAATGGTTGACTTAAAATATCAAATAGAACGATTATTTAAGATCAAAGATGTAAAAACTTCAATGGTAAAATTACACAGGGGAGAAACTCGACGTTTTGCTAGAGACAATTCTATTTCGGATTTTCAAGACGGAGATTTGTACAAGAGATTAAATCCTACAAACTGCAATAGTGTTTTGACTCTTAATTTCTTTTTGAAATGGAGCAATTATGAAGCGGAGTGGTAGTGAACATTTCTGGGCCGCTCTAATACAAATTAATGAAATTCCAATATCCTTAAGAATGAGGTATATTATGTTGTCAGGCGTAATGATGGTCGCTAAAGAACCGAAGCCTGAATTAATGAATTCTTTCTCAACGAATTTACGAAACAAATTGAACTGCTTAATGTAGAAGGTATTCAATTGCAAGCAGGTGACCTTAATATAACTTTTACTTTTAAGATTCTATTTGGGATTTTGAATTCAGTTGCTCGACCCATATTGCAGAATAGAGTTCAATATAATGGTTTCTTCAGATGTAGCTGGTGTTATCAAAGAGGAAATTACATCAATACCGTTAGGTACCCCTTTGACCCTAACTTTCGACTTAGATCACATGTATTACATTTGGAGGATGTTCGTTCTGTTGAAGATCGTCAGAGAAACACAAATATCAGAAAAATTCATTACACGTTCGTTACACGTTCGTTAATGGAGTTAACGGTGAAACTGCTCTCTTGAGTCTTACTCAAGATTTTGACATAGTTTGGGGTTTCCCTCTGGAATATATGCACTGTATTCTAATTGGCGTTGTACCTCATCTTTGGGAATTGTGGATCAACAAACGTTTTTTATGAGCTCAAGATGTACAAAACATCAGTCAACTTTTAATATCGTGAGAAACAGTCCATGAAAACCATAGACTTATGCGCGAATTTTCTACAAAAAGTAAATGGAAAGCTTCTGAATGGAGATCATTGTTGCTCTTCTTTGGCGTACCTTGCTTGAAGGATTACACAGCCCCACAAAAAAAAAAAGTGTCATGTACTTTTGACCGGAATACCCTAACCCTATGTATTTTGACGCGCTGAACACGAATCCGAAGTCCGTTTTGCTCCATCACGTCAGGATTTTTTTCTAACCTCAAAAAACATGTCGGATTTTGTGAAGTAGGCGATTTTTTTAAAAATTGATGTATTAACTTCAAACTTGGTATCTGGGGGTTTTTTGTGTCGCTGATTACGAATCTGAAGTTAGATTTTCAAAATTCAAAATGGCGGATCCAATATGGCGGACGAATTTTGAAAAAATTTTAAGATTTACTTCAAACTTGGTATCTGGGGGTTTTTTGGGTCGCTGATTACGAATATGATGTCAGATTTCCGAAATTCGACATGTCTGATTCAATATTAAGGAATTGTTTTTAAAAAATTGTCAGATTATTATGAAATTTGGTATCTACAGGTTTTCTAAGTTGCTGACAAGTAACACTAGGGAAGTGCCATACGACGATTTTTCTGAAACTTGGCAGTTTTGTAGTTTTTTAAAAACAATTTGACACGTATGTTTTGTTTTTCCGCAAAATATTCGTAATCAGCGACCCAAAAAACCCCCAGATACAGATAATGGCGTATCTAATATGTCCGATAGAAGTCCATGTTGGATATGCCATTTTGAATTTTTCAAATCTGACATCATATTCGTAATCAGCGACCCAAAAAACCCCCAGATACCAAGTTTGAAGTAAATCTTAAAATTTTTTCAAAATTCGTCCGCCATATTAGATCCGCCATTTTGAATTTTGAAAATCTAACTTCAGATTCGTAATCAGCGACACAAAAAACCCCCAGATACCAAGTTTGAAGTTAATACATCAATTTTTAAAAAAATCGCCTACTTCACAAAATCCGACATGTTTTTTGAGGTTAGAAAAAAATCCTGACGTGATGGAGCAAAACGGACTTCGGATTCGTGTTCAGCGCGTCAAAATACATAGGGTTAGGGTATTCCGGTCAAAAGTACATGACACTTTTTTTTTTTGTGGGGCTGTGTTATTTACCTCATAATATTCTGGAACATTTCGCATTACTTGCGAATACTGTTTTTATTTTATTAAAGAGGAAAATTACTAATGCCGAATTACTTAAATGTGAAAGTGATATGATAGAATTTGTAGGAGAATTTGATATTTTGTATGGCCCAACTTAATGACTTTTAACGTCCATATTTTATTACATTTGGTCCAGTCTGTGCGTTGTTCTGGTCCTCTTTGGGTAACATCAGCTTTTTTGTTTTGAAAGTCATTTACACATTTTAAAGCAGTATGTGTTAGGACCTAAGAAACCAGAGCAACGATGGCCATAAAATCTCTTGACATTTTGCATTACAAATTTGAATATACAAGGGATATTTTTCATTCAGAAGTAGCTAGGCAATATTGCCAAAGAATTTTCTCTTTCACTCCATTGTCAATGTTTGTAGTACGAAGTATTTATGGGGTGACATTTTTTGGTAGAAATACGAGAATCGAAATTGTAAATCCGGATAATAATGAATTATTGGAAGGTGAAAGTTTTAATAAATGTATTTATAACAAATGCGTTTATAAAAATACTAAAAACACTCTTTCTAGCAGGAGAAACGATACCGTTGTCCAATTAAATTCAAAAGATGTAGTTCAAATTAAAGACATTATTATGAAATGAAACTTGTTATTTGTCCGTTTCACACATAACAGTAATTCCGGATGAGCTTATTAGCCATCTGTTTAGAATAATCGACAAGAGTATTAATACTCGCTTAATGGACATTAAAGAAATGCACGAAAAATTAATATATATAGATTTTAAAAACACCAGCTAGGTTTGCCGCCTTCCTCAGACCATAGAAATTCAATAATTATGAATTATTTTGCGTTTCGATATTATATGTCAAATAATCATTTTTGTAAGTTATTAATTTTAATTAATTTCATATGCAATGAAAAAAAACAATACTTAAATAAAAAACTTCTTCACTCAAATATTTTTTTCTTTCTTTGATTTTAAATTTTAGCATTGAAAGTGTAAAAAAAAGTGTATATAATAATTAACAGAACACAATACAGAACACAATACAATACAATACAATACAATACAATACAATACAATATTTTTATAAGTCTCTCTTACAATTCAAAACAATTGAAAACAATACTTGTAAACTTTTAAGACGATTGAAAACTATTGAAATTTATTATCAAAACTTGAGCCTAATTGCCAACGATTAAAAACGATTAACCAATTGTTACTTTTCAATTGTTGCAAATTGTGGTCAATCGATTTCTAGTACAAGGGTGACCATGTTATCGGCCCATTCTTCGGACATCTTTTGGTCCAACGTAATTTTTTAATAACTTGGCGACAAAAGCCATGATGACCGAATAATTGATCATAGCAGCAACCATCACCACAACAATCATCATTTGACTTGCACTGCATATCAAGAAATAATATACATGTTATATATATATATACAAATTAAAATAAGAAAAATTGAGTAAAGTAATACATACATCGAATGTAGGCATAATACAGCCAGGTTCAAAAGGCCCTCTAAGTTTAGCACATACTGTTGCAATGATGAATATGAATACGAGACAGAAAATTGTAACTTTCATAATCTGGAATAAAATTTTTAGGAAGTTTAAAATAAATAATTATTGAAATACTAAAAATATTAAAAACTGGGAGAAAGAAATTATTAACAATTTAAATATAGTTGATGAAAGTGATAATCATAAAAATAATTTGTTCCTTCTTTTTATCTCCACTTTTAATTCTCAATTTTACAAATCCAACAAGGATCTCATATCTCTTGGTGACAGGATGGATTTTATTTATTAAATTAATTGTAAAGAATCTGAATGTATATTATTGTGTTGAAAGTATACATTTTAAACCTAAAAAAAATTGAATTTTTTCACCATTCAAAAGAACAGGAAATTGCCTTTCGAAATCATAAAGATCAAAATTTTTTTCATTTTATTGTTTAAGAATTATAACTTCTTAAAAATTCACTGTTTACATTTTTCAGATTATAATAATGCTGCCGAATCGAAGAAGGGCACATAACCCATTTGAATTATATTAGTTATGTGCCCTTCTCTGATTTGGCAGCTCAATTATTATAAAAATTTTACAATATAAAAAAGAAATTCATACCTTCTTTTTATCCTCTTGATGTGCAACGAATATACGAAATGGCATTAATTCCATCGCGTTAGTTTAAAGCATATTTATATCGTTTCGAAAGACAAAAATGTAATAAATATTAAAATAAAGATAAAATAAAATACAAAACCTATAATTCACATATAATTAGCAAAAAATGATGTACGATGTTTCAAATTGTTAAAAATATCTAACAAGGAAAACTTCAAAATAATGAATTATTACTCATAATAATTATCCAAAGACATTTTCATATCTTTATCTAAAGGACCATACTTAACCCCTTGAGTGTGAGGGTACGTCTATTAATAGACGTACATTTTAAAGTGGGCTTTCAGTGTTAGATACGTCTATAGACGTACATACAAAAAAATTGATAAAAGATACAAAAAATAAGTAGATTTAAATCGCACATACGTTATTTATGGTATTTTCGACGCTGAATCCGAATTTGAAGTCAAATTTTAAAAATTCACTAAGAAAAAAAATTTAGTGTTTACAACAAAATTGTTATTTTGGTTATTGTAACCAAATTTTGGTTGGCTGAAACAAAGTCGTAGAGTTATCTTAACCAAACATTTGGTTAGGCCAACAAAATTATTTTGTTGAACATTTTTAAATTCCAACCAAAATTTGGTTAACACAACAAAATAGTTTGGTCTAAACAACCAAATGATCGTTTGTTGTCCTAACCAAAATTTTGTTGAGACAAACAAATAATTTGATTCGCTCTCAGCTCATAGCTTAAGAGAACAGTTAGTTTAAATCTCTCACAAGAATGGGTAGTCCAGTGGTCAGAGCTCCCGATCTTCAGTTTTAAAATAGAGGTTCGATCCCAGGCGAAGATGAGATTTTTCAAAGTCCACAAATATTTCAATTGGATAAATATCAATTCAATGTTAAATTGATAATAAATAAATAATGAAATATATAAAAAAGATAAAAAAAGAAATAAGGTAGAATAAAATTTTTAATTTTAGAAAAAAAATTGTTTGTTTGATCAACCAAACATTTTTGTTGACCTAACAAACAAAATTTGGTTGAGCTAACCAAACATTTTTGTTATGCCAACAAAAAACACTCAACAAAATTTTTTGTTTGACTCAAATAAATAGTTTGGTTGCTTAAATACCAACATAACTTTTTTTGTTAGCCCAACCAAATTTTGGTTGCTCTGACTAAACATTTTTCTCAGTGTTTCTCAGACATTAAATCTCCGACAGCATACATTATCTTATCAAACTAATATCTCAAAAAATTATATCAAAATGTTTTCGAGGTCGCTGATTACAAATATGAAGTTAGATTTTAAAAATTCAAAATGGCGGAATCAATATGAAGGACAACATAATTAAAGTTAATCGTTGTTACTCGGGGGTTTTCGGGGCTGCTGAATTCGAATCTGATGTTATATTTTCAAAATTCAAAATGGCGGATCTAATATGGCGAACGACAAAAATAAAAAAATGATCGGATTCGCTTGAAACTCGTTATTTGGGAGTTTTAAAGGTCGCTGAATTCGAATCTGATGTAAGTTTTTCAAAATCAAATATGTCGAACGACAAAATTAAAGTTTATCGGATTTTATTATTTGCTTAACATTTCTGTTTAAAAAAAAATAAAAACCAAAAAAAAATTTTTTAAATCTAAAAATACAAATAATAAGGAGTGTAAAATCCACCGGCACACCTCCACGTTGTACACTCGGATTGTAGATAACTGTTAAACTATTTACTAGCTAATTGCGTGGGTGGAATTTTATAGTTATTTTTTATTTAATATTTACATTATTGATTTTCGCCATATTTCATCCACTGTTTTTAATTTCTAAAATCTAAATTTGAATTTAAATGACACTGAAAAAATTTGAATAATAAGATTTAAGTAAATTTAATTGATGTTTAATTTTTCTGTCCGCCATATGGATTTGCCATTTTGAGTTTTGAAAAACTAATATCAGATTCCTAATCAGCAACCTTGAAAACTTCTGAGTAACGTGTTTTAAACAAAAACTGACGCATTTAGAAAAATATGTCAGACATATTGAAAACGCTGTTTTGAATTTTGAAAAACTAACAACAAATTCATAATCAGCGACCTCAGAAACTTAAGTTCACTTAGTTTAAAAAATTTTGATGGTAAAAGAGTTTCTGAACATTTTGGACCCATGTTTAAAATTTTGCTCCTCACGGCGAAGGGGTTAAATTACGTAACGCTTCATTGTGGAGAGGGGATCATGCTATTTGGATGTACAATTAGGGCTCATTCATTAATTACGTAAAGACGATTTTGGCTAATTTTGACTCTCCCTACCACCATAAGATTTTTCGGATCCCCCTCCGCTTTCTTATGTAAGTTTTTAACAATATTAATGTAATTAAAACAAGTGGGGTGTCCTTTATGTTCATTTTATGAACATTTTGCTTCCTCATTATATGATACAAAAAATTTAAAAAAAATGATACAAAAAATTAACATGTACAAGTTCTTGTACGAGAACTTGTTCACATAAAAAATAGCAATCATTTCTTTTTATTAGTTCTTCATTAATTCTTTTAATTTAAATCAAATACAGTCGACTCTCGATAAATTGAATCTCAAGGGTATTAAAAAAAAGTTCAAATTATTGAGAGTTTTATTTATCGAAAGTTTTAATTATCGAGAGAGAAGACAGGTAAAATTCAAATTAACAAGAAATTGACTAATAATAAATTTATTTTGCATGGTGTACAAAGAAATCAGTTTTTTTTGTTTCAATGCACTCCAATGTGCACACGGAGAAAAATTATTTTGTAACGATTACAGGACTGGTACAGTATTGCTCGGACGAAATGCCATAAACATTAAAAATTAAATAAAAGTATATATTAATAAATACAGGTTTAGAAGTGGAAAAACATATGAGCGTAGCCTTATTCATTACAGATCAGTCTTGTAAAATAAGGAAGACCTGGCATGGCTCTGGCGACGCTTGCGACTGCGCGGAGCGAGCGTGCCATTCACAGACAGTTCTGTAATTTTTGCAGCTCCAAACATTAATTCGTTCGGAAGCAAAAAAAATATATATATTCTCTACGAATTTACTCACGTATAACCGGTTTCATAGTCACCTTCGTTCGAGTATTGTTTTCACTCACACTGCACACACATATATATTTTCAATACGCTCGCTTGTATATATAATCCTAACCTAAACTAACACAGTATTAATACGCACGCACTATTACAACCGCGATACAAAGTATATTTCGAACTGCTCTTATATACTAACTTCAGAAATTCTTTTGCGCTTGTGAGAAACTTTATAAATAATCAAAACTTTATTTATTTAACAAAAATTAACCTTTCACTGTTATTATCTTTCTTATGATTACCAAGGTCAATTTTCATATATATATAACAGGGATATAAAAATGAATAACAGTCTATAAATTTGTTGTCAAAAATTTTATTAGACGCGATCAGCTCGTGACGTCACGACACGTTACTGCTCATAGCGCTACAAGCCTACTACAAGCCAGTTCTCTAATCGTTTCAAGTCTAAACAACACTGGTTGCAAAACGAAAAATCGGATCTCGATTACAGGAGCGCTTATGACAATTTACAGATACGTTCTGTAATTTAAGCAGGTCTATTTTTAAAAATATTAGAACTGCTTTTTGTAACCATCACAAAACTGGTCACTTCGTCCGAGCAGTACGGTGCAGTTCTGTAATCGTTACAGAATAAATTTTCTCTGTGTATTTCATTATAGAAAACACAAAATTTCGTTGAAATTAACGTTTCCAAAATTGTAGAACATATAATTAGGCAAGACCTTTCGTCAACTTTAAATAAAAAAAAATGATAAGTAAACATAATAAAACTAATGCTAATGTGGTACAACTGTAAAATAAAAATTTCATTTTAAATAAATTTCAACAACATGTTAAAAACACAATTTTTTAGGTTCAACTTTTTCCAAGGTTTAAAGAATTTTTTTTAAAAATATGTGTTAAAACAAATTAAATACAATTTTATAAAATCGCAATTAATTATATAATAATTAATAATACTTACAGAAAGTTTAAGATAAAGACATGTCAAAAACCTAACCGTAAAAGTACAACCTTTTTAAATGTTTAAATTGATTATTTCAAATAAAAACATTTTTAAAGGAATTTAAAACAATTCCTCAAAATCGTCAACATTTAATATTATTACTTTTGGATTTACCGTCAAATATATATTTCTTATGAAGTAGAATCCTTTTAATCCTGGTGAGAATCACTTATTCAAAACATTTGTATTTGCATTGTAAAATGCCAACAAAATTTTATTTTAAACTGATTTTAATATTAAATAATTATGTAAATGCTACAAAACATAAAAATTTTGCGGTTTTTATATTTATAATTTTATTTTCAGATACACTTGCTGAATTGGAAAAACGTATAGCTACAAAACGAGCACGTTTCAACTCAAATTATTTAGATTCGTCTTCATCTGACGCAATAAATGAAGTCCAAAGCAAGGCTGATGTAAGCTTTTAATAACTTTATTCAAAAACTCAAATCGGTTAAACATTAAAATGAAAAAATAAAAATTATGTACAAAAATTTTTAATTTCTTGACAGAAAAAGAAATATGACAATAGACATACAGAAATAAAGAAACTAATAGTTGCTAAACAGGCTGAATTACAATCAAAACGGAAGCAAACTGACGAGACTGAAGAGCTTTTACTTGACTCAAAAAAACGGAAACCTGGAAAACAAATTAAATCTTCAGGCCTCAATACAATGAAAACTATTACTTCACCGATTTTAAAACCTATTTTTGCCACGCCAACTGAATCTCGCATTTCCTTTACTACTGTTGCTTTAGTACACCAAGTTAATTCGGAAAATGTAGAACACTTAAAAGAAAAGGATCATAAATCTACCCCTGGCGGATCTCGAAATCGGAATGTACGCTGAATTTGTTGTACATTCGTTACACATTGGTTATACATTTAGTTGGAGTGAAAATTGTGTTGAAACTGAGTGGAAACTGTGGAAAAGTGTAATTGAATTGAATAATAAAAGTATTTAGTGACAGATTTGTGCTGTATTTGTGATAAATTAACGTGTTATT